CTGTGAAAACATGAAAAATAAGAAGGGATTATCTATGGCTCCTGGTGCCCTGAAAAACTTGGATTGAATAAAGGTCATGTGTTGAGGAGCTTAGTAAGCACAAAAAGGCCATGGATGAATGGGTCCTTTAAAATTAGTAGCAGATATAAATATAGTTGCTTCCCCAGGGTGGTTGTTTTATGCCCATATTTGAGACTGCAGTGTATTTTTTCTTAAAGACATGTCAGATTTCTAATAGAAATGCTGAAATGATCTTTACAGAGGCAGAGGAAGCTCATGATAGAGCATCCCAGGTGTCACGCAGCTCCTGCTGCAGCTCAGACTCCTTCTTCTTAAAGCCCAGGTCCTGGCATTAGAGCCAAGTTGTGCCCCCCAGTTCTTGGTACCACAGTCTGAGTTTTAAATATGCCCTGGAGGTTCAATCAAACTCAAGATGGTTTGCTTCTAGATTCATTTCTTAACTCGTTTGAAAGGAAGGAGACAAGTGAGGTTTCTTGAATGATCGTTTCAATCCAATTCTCTTTCATTGGATGAAAAAAAGGGGGGGTGGATGATAGAGGCATAACTAGGAATTGTGCCTGGGTCAAGAACCACAAATGGTAACCTGGGCAGATATTAAGAGCTCCTTAAGTTAAGGCAGCGGTGACAGAGACTCAGGATATTGGCCCCAAGATGTGGAATTAGAGGAAGAGCTCATTCTATCTGGTAGCTTTCTATGTTAACTAATTGTTCTTGCCAATTAGGCACTAAGCTCTGTTGTTTCTAGCTGCCAGAAGGTTATCAGTGCTCTCAGGGCCCTACAACTTCAGCACCCTGGGGAAAAGCCTAGAATGTTTAATCTTAGTTATACTTCTAATGAGCGGGCAGCAAGGTTGGTATTTAAGATTCTGGGAAGAGGAACTTCTCTGGCCATTTACAACTTCTTAAAGGACTTGTTGGAGTGGACATTAATGAATCTTAGCATGGAGAGTTCAATCCATCATTTGGATTGTAGAAAGTGACCACTTGTTGATGACAGATCACGCAAATTATTTCTCCTTTTTTTTTCAAATTACTGATGCTATGCAAAAGCACCAGCAACTCAAAAAGGATCATGATCCAGTAGAATAGAAGCTCCTTGAAGGCAGGGTCTCTTTTTCATTTTGTCCTTGTTTACCTAGCACAGTGCCTGCCACATGGAAGCTGCTTAACAAATATTTGGCGAATCAAATTGACCTTTCCCTGGTCAGAGTTACTAAACACAGCAGATTCTGTTTAAAGGTATGGTAAAATTGGGGATTGTGGTTCTCCTGCCATTGAAATTTCTTGTAAACTCCTTGTAATCAGTAAAGGCACTTTTAATTAAGGTCCAGACCTACATCTCCATCTGCCTGTTGGGGGGATGTCACCATTTGGATTTCCTACCATCACTTCAAACTCAAAACATCAGAATCCAAATTCATCATCCCCTTTTCCTCATCCTGTACCCCCACTATTATTCAAACCAGCTGCTGTTTTTGAATTCCCTATTTCTGTTAATGGCACCACCTTCCTTCCAGGATCCCAGGTGAGAAACCTCAGAGGAATCTTCGAGGCCTCCCTTTGCTTTGCCTACCCTAACTACTCATTTGTCAAGCCCTCTTTCCCTTCTCCACAATAGCTCTCTCAACTATCCCTTCCTTTCTATTCTATTTGAAATTCTTATCACCCTTTATCTGGATTCTTTCAATAGACTCCTAACCGCTCTCCCAGCCTCCTGGATCTCCCTTTATAATTCAAGCCACATGCTGCTGCCAGATTAATTTTCTAGGGGAAAAAATGGCTCAAAGAATTACAGAGGTAGGAGAGGTCTTGGAATACTACCTTCAGCATGCTTAAAAAGTGGCCATCCTAACCTCCATCTGAGGATAGATATTTACCGCTGAGGAATGCACTGCCTAAAAGTGGTCATCCTAACCTCCATCTGAGGATACATATATACTGCTGAGGAATGCACTGCCTAAAAGTGGTCATCCTAACCTCCATCTGAGGATAGATATTTACCACTGAGGAATGCACTGCCTAAAAGTGGTCATCCTAACCTCCATCTGAGGATAGATATTTACTGCTGAGGAATGCGCTGCCTAAAAGTGGTCATCCTAACCTCCATCTGAGGATAGATATTTACTGCTGAGGAATGCACTGCCTAAAAGTGGTCATCCTAACCTCCTTCTGAGGATACATATATACTGCTGAGGAATGCACTGCCTAAAAGTGGTCATCCTAACCTCCATCTGAGGATAGATATTTACCGCTGAGGAATGCACTGCCTAAAAGTGGTCATCCTAACCTCCATCTGAGGATAGATATTTACTGCTGAGGAATGCACTGCCTAAAAGTGGTCATCCTAACCTCCATCTGAGGATAGATATTTACTGCTGAGGAATGCACTGCCTAAAAGTGGTCATCCTAACCTCCATCTGAGGATAGATATTTACTGCTGAGGAATGCACTGCCTAAAAGTGGTCATCCTAACCTCCATCTGAGGATACATATATACTGCTGAGGAATGCACTGCCTAAAAGTGGTCATCCTAACCTCCATCTGAGGATAGATATTTACCGCTGAGGAATGCACTGCCTAAAAGTGGTCATCCTAACCTCCATCTGAGGATAGATATTTACTGCTGAGGAATGCACTGCCTAAAAGTGGTCATCCTAACCTCCATCTGAGGATAGATATTTACTGCTGAGGAATGCACTGCCTAAAAGTGGTCATCCTAACCTCCATCTGAGGATAGATATTTACTGCTGAGGAATGCACTGCCTAAAAGTGGTCAACCTAACCTCCATCTGAGGATACATATATACTGCTGAGGACCGCTGCCTATAAGTCAGCTCCCTCTGGCTGGTTCCAGTTGTTGAAGTTTTCCCTGATGCAACATATTGCTCCTGTCATTAATCAAGGCCGTGGAACAGGGGCCATAACATGCTTCCCCTCACTGTTATATCCCCAGCTCAATATCTAGGTTGTTGTGGTGGTGGTGGTGGTTTAGTCATTTTTCGTCACGTCTGAATCTCTGTGACCCCATTTGAGGTTTTCTTGGCAAAGATGCTGGAATGGTTTGCTGTTTCCTTCTCTTTTTTTCTTTTTTCTTTTTCTTTTTTTGGCTAGGCAATGGGGTTAAGTGACTTGCCCAGGGTCACACAGCTAGTAAGTGTTATCTGTCTGAGACTGGATTTGAACTCAGGTCTTCTTGAATCCAGGGCCAGTGCTCTATCCATTGCACCACCTAGCTGCCCCTGCCATTTCCTTCTCTAGCCCATTTTACAGCTGAAGAAGCTGAGGCCAACAGAGTTGCCCAGGGTCACACAGCTAGTAAGGGTCTGAGACTGGGTTTGAACTCAGGTCTTCCTGACTCCAGACCTGATGGTGCTGATCTACTGTGATCTATCTGATCTACTGTGCCACCTAACTGGCCTTCTATATCTAGCAATAGTTATTAATCATGAGATATTGCTCATGGGTCTACCCTCCCCCCCCAGGCACTCCTATTCCTTCCAGATCGATTGATGTTTTAGAGACTCAGATTTCCCATATCACGGTTAAACAATGTTAAAGGCATAGTAAAAAACAAGAAAATACTTTAAAAAAAAAAAACAACAAATATACTAATCACTCATGACCCAAGAAAGCCACTTTGTCTTCTCCCAACCCCCAGGATATAAGGTCCATTCTTTCTCCCTTTGTTTTGCCACTTTTATGCAGGGAAGAGAAAGAGGAAACTAGGCTGTCAATATGTCCTCCAGAACCTATTAATCCCATAACACAGGGTTAGAGGGTTTGGGAGAGTGGAAGACTTCTCATTTAATCTTATGAATTAATGCACACCATATTTTCCCCCTCTGAGACTGGAGAACACTGTATACATGTTAGGTGATCCTCCTGGTTGTTGTAGTAGAGGTGAATAGGACTATAGCATCGACGACTCCAATATCCCTAAATCCACTCCAGGGTTTGATTTATGCATCTCTCCATCCCTAAAACCCCAGGACTTAAATGAGATAGTGCTCAGATGTGGATGCCCACAAGGCCACAGGGCACCCCACGGTAGCCCCTGCCCATCACAAAGCTAAGCCTACAACGGAAGGGTGACGGGCCCATTTCCCTGCTTCTGCCCTTTTCCTTTCAAAACTCTGAAATGCTTCTCTGCAATCTCGTGTCACAGTCATGCCAAGCCACCTGATCATCTGCTGCCAGCCTGTCTCTGCTCTCAGTAGGGAAGGTGAGGCTACATCAGAATATCACAGCCCTGGCACTCTGGCTACCCCCCCCCCCGCCTTGGATTTATACTCATCCAAAGATCTGTTTCTCTGTGAAACTTTGACCCGTGCTTCCTAGCTTTGGACTCTGCAGCCTCTTCCGCTTCAAATCCTCAAAGAAAGCAACTACATCCCTCCCCGTTTCCCCAAATATTCTCTTCTCCTATGTAAACATCTTATTTCTTTTTCTCATCATGCTATGCCCCTCCTCAAAATCCACTAATGACTCCTTCTTGCAAACGAAACAAACAAAAGTTATAACTCTTTTGCCTTGCATTTGCAATTTGGATTCAGCTTTATGTCCAGCAGGGCGTTCCCTGAACAAGATTTTACCCATCTCTACTTCTGCAGCTTGGCATCTGAGTGGTGCAGTGGATAGAGTGCAGGACCTGGAGTCAGGGAGACTCATCTTCCTGAGTTCAAATTCAGCCTCAGACACTTATTAGCTGTGTGACCCTGGGCAAGTCACTTCACCCTGGTTGCCTCAGTTTCCTCATCTGCAAAATGAGCTGGAGGAGGAAACGGCAAACCATTCTCTTACTTCTGTCAAGAAAACCCCAAGTGGAGTCCCGGGCAGTTGGACGCTACTGAAAAATGACTTAACAACAACAACCTCTGCACAACTTTACTCATGCAACCCCCTCCACCACTTGGAATGACCTCCCCTCCTTTTATCTTTCTTTATCAAATTTATTAAATTTCTTCTACTTATCCTTTAAGGTTCAGCTCATGTGCCACCTCTTCCATGAAGCCTTCTGTGATCCCCTGAGCCAGAAGTGGGATCTCCTGCTAAAGCACCGTGGAACCTCTGGTTGGTACTACTCACATATCATTTGTCACATACTGCCTGGTTTGGCAATTACTTGTGCAAACATCTTATTCCTTCCCAAAGAGATTGTAGGGTCATATAAGCCTGTTATACTTATGCTCAGTATGTTGCTTTTAAAATTTTGTTGCTGTGGCATATTTTCATATAACAGTCATTTCTGGAAATACTCTCCTTGTCCATTCCAGATTGAACCTTCTCTTGTAACAAAGAAAAACAATTAAGAAAAAACATCAATATGACAGGGTCTACAATAGCACCCCGCCTCTTTGTAGTGAGGATGGAGTTTATATGCAATGTTTTGCACAGAGCAGACAAGCTATTTGAATATTGTTATGCCATTTTACAAATGAGGAAACTGAGGCATGTTAGGTGGCAAAGTGGGCAGGATGCCATTGTTAGAGTCAGTGGGGTGCAGAATGAGATGAATTTTGGAGATGTGGCCAATATGAGAAAGTGTTTTGCATGGTTATGTATTCATTACAAGGGTTTGGTTTTGATTTATTGTTTTATTCATTGTCTTGATGTAAGAAAGTGGTGGAGAAATTGTTAATAATACACATTAAACTTTAAAGTATTTGTGTATACATTTTATTTTTCAGAGAGCAAATTGTTAAACATTTAACAGCATACCCCTGGTTACAACCCACATGTTCTTTATTAGCTTTAGTCCCCTCCACCAGACTATAAACCATTTGGGGCAGGGAGTATGTTTTTCACTTCCTTTGTCTGTCTATCTGTCCCACACCATGGTTTTCTACACAGTATGAGTACTTAAGATACACTGCCAAATGACTTTATATCAGGTAAAAACTGATCCAGGGGGGAGGAGAGGGACACAAGAGGAAATTTAGGTGATGTAAAAATCAAAGAGAGCAATAAAATTTTATTTTAAAAAAGATTCAAGGACTCATGATGAAACATGCTATCTACCTCCAGATACAGAACTGATAAGAGTGCATATTGAAGCATATTTTCTCCTTCTCCTCCTCCTCCTCTTCTTCTTCCTCTTCTCCTTCCATGGCTAATGTAGAAATATGTTTTACATAACTATACATATTTATAATGGATTTTGTTTTTCTTGCTTTCTCAATGGTTAATGGAGGAGTTGAAGGGGAGGGAGAAAATTTGAAGCTAAAAATAAAATTGAATTTTAAAAAAAATGATCCAGGGGTTTCAATGAACTCCAGCTGAGTTGAATGAATCACCCCCCCAGGTTGGGTCCTCAACATCTCTGAATTGATAATTTATGAAACTATGAAATAGCAGAAGGCAATCTGGTTCTTTGGGTACTCGTCAGCCCAGACCACAATGACAGCAGGATACAGGGAGGCAATGACACTTCAGTGAGGCACAGAGGGTGTGGGGGCAAACAGCATAGAAAGTACAGAGATACATAGTAAAAGGGGGCAGATGTCTTGGGGACAGGGGATGAGGTGGTACAAGAAAGCAGGCAGTGGTAGAGAAGAGGATGGGGAGGGGGAGCAGCAGAGAGTATCACTCACATCCCCACGGATTAGATTTGGGCCCAATGGAGATGGAAGAGAACTGGGGGCAGCAGGAGTTTCAGGTATCATTTTATAGGGTTTGGGGAGGGATAGACCAACTCTTATGTTAGTTCATTAACATAGCCAAATCATCTTCAAGTTATCAGTAAAACTTTAAAGTTAACATGCTTGCATCATCTCAAAGTTATCAGTACCTTTTGATGTTCCACTGGTCTGGAACTGTGGAGGTCTGGAATGTGTCTGGGATTTACATATTATGGGACCAAAAGTCTCTGACAGCAAAGCCTAAGTGACTTCACCTGATTCAGCACATATTAGCAGATGTGATTTTTAGTTACTGTATGATACCGTTTGTAAATTACGATCCTTTGATCTTTGGGATGCTTTATACGTGACTTCCTGGGTCCCCTTTGCAATCTTCTTTCCTGCTATTGTCCCTTTATACTGGCTACTTATAAACCTACTATACTGACCACAAAATGGGGGTGGGGTGCCAGAACAAGAACCAATTTTAACACAACCTCACATTTGGAACATTATAATAGAATCCTAACTAGTCTTACTGATTTCTCTCTTTTCCAATCCATTCCCTGCACTGTTACCTAAACAATCTCTCTATTGTGGAGCTTTAATAGTGTTACTTCTCATTAGACTGTAAGTTTCTTGAGGGCAGGCACTCACTTTTTCATATTTGTATCTTCCGTGCTTACCCCAGTACCTGAGAGTTAATAAATATTTATTGACTGACTGTTCAAAAATCTTCAGTTGCTTGCTAATTTACCTACCAAATAAAAGACAAATTCTTAATTCAAGGTCCTCCAGTAACAGGCTTCCACCTGCTTTTTTTTCCCCACTTTACATACTTGACATTCTTCCAATCAAACTGGACTTCTCCAGTTCTTTCACCGAATGCTGTCCTGTCTCTATACTTTTGTTCATATTAGCTTATCTATACATAGAAGACTCCTTCCTAGTCCTCCCTTCCCCTCCTCCCATTCTTACCTCCTCTGTGATACACTCACTGCTTCCCTCCAACTAAGAGGGATCTCTCCTTTTCTGAATCATTCATAGCATTTTCTTTGGCCCTCTCCTTTGTATTTATATTCTAATTTCATAGTTATTCTAACATTACATTTCTAATAAGTGTGGTTATTTCTACCTATGTCACCTTCCCTACTAAACTATAACTTCCTTGATGGCAATGACTTCATCGCATTTTGTCCTTGTGTCCTTAGGACTTAGTATAATGTCCACCATATTTATTATTGTTGTTTTCATCACCATTATATGGAACTTAGGGCAACTTGGTGGCTCAGCGGACACAGCACTGGGCCTGGAGTTAGGAAGACTTATCTTTCTGAGTTTAAATCTGGCCTCAGACATTTACTAGCTGTGTGACCCTGGGCAAGTCACATAACTCTGTTTGCCTCAGTTTCCTCATCTGTAAAATGAACTGGAGAAGGAAATGGCAAAACTATTTCAGTATCTCTGCCAAAAGAAAACCCCACATGGAATAATGAAGAGTAAGATACCACTGAAAAATGACTCAACCACAACAACTTAATGTGGGACCTCTGATTTTATTGGTTTAGGGAGCTCATAACAAAGCTACTACTCTACTAAGGTAGACGGGCACCTATTCTGAAACTTAAAATCTTTTTTTTTCTTTTAGGCAATTGGGGTTAAGTGACTTGCCCAGGGTCACACAGCTAGTAAGTGTCAAGTGTTTGGTCTGAGACCAGATTTGAACTCAGGTCCTCCTGACTTCAGGGCCGGTGCTCTCTCCACTGCACCACTTAGCTGCCCCTGAAACTTAAAATCTTAAACGGTTTCCTGGGATATTGAGAAGCTAGGTAACTTACTTAACGTCACATAGTCAGTGAATGTAAGACTAAGCAAGACTTGAACCCAAAATCTCATGACTTCAAGGCCAGCTTTCTATCCACGTCCATGCTGCCTCTTTGATTCTCTGTGTTCCATATAGTAGCAACTTTTAAAAATCTGTTGAATTAAATTTGACAAATTTGTACACAGGTGAAGTCAAGGTATGGATGCAGCAAACCTGTCAAATGTTAGAGCTGGAAAGGAGCTCTTCATCTAGTGCAAACCTGTCACTTGGCAAAGGGGAGCAGTAACATGTCCAAAGGCACACAGAAAGGTTTGATAGCAGTGCTGAGACTCGAACTCAGGGCTCCTGGCTCCAAGCAGAGTCTTCTTCCCATGACACCATCCTAATACCAAACTAATCCTAAAAGAAAGAGGCGTGAACTGGGACGCTGACCGCAGGAGACACAATGGCCTTTCCCCACTGTTCTCTGGCTAGCCAGGCCCCAGACTTGAGTCTGTCTGTCACTGGACTCCACACCTGAGGAAAGATGTGGGGAAACTGAAAAGGTTCCAGAAGACAGCTGCAAATATAATCACAGGATTGAGAAATCACATCTGTGAGGGAATATGAAAAGACCTAGGATTATTTTGCCTGGAGAAGAAACAGCTAAGAGGTGACTTAATAATAGCCTTCAAGTCCAAGAAGCATTATTACAAGCAACCTGATAACCTGCTGCTCTCCTTCTCCACTAAGGAATGGAAATGAGCTTGATTTGGAAGCAAGAGGGAGCGGGAGAAATGTGAGGGAACACTTCTTGGTGAGACTGACTTAATCATTATAATTATTGGTACTCACCATTCCATAGTACTTTAGTTTGCAAAGCACTTTTGTCACCCCGACCACGTGAGAAAGATGTCAAAAAGTATGATTCTCCCCGTTGTGCGGAGAAAGAAACTGAGGCTCAGACTAGCTAAGCAATTTGCTCATCACAGAAGCACAGGAAGTCAGTGCTGGTAGCACCTATTTCAGTTGCCTTATTTTACAGATGAAGTAGTAGCAGTCAGAAAAGGGAGTGTCTTGTTTAAAGTAGCACAGTGAGTTAGAGATAGCGCCAAGACTAGAACTCAGGCCCGTTGGCTCTTAAACCAGTGCTCTTTGGATCTCTTTCTCAGAATCATAGGATTATGGGACGTAGGCCTTGAAGGGACCTTGGAGGTTATCTAGGGCAAGCCACTCATTTTACAGATAAGGAAGCTGAGGCCTAGAGTGGTGGAGGGACCAACCAACATGGCAGAATCCTAAACCAAGGCCTGAAATAACAATAATAGTGGGGTTACTTTGTTCTGTATGATAATGTTTCAGGGGCTTGAGTACTATTATTAAGTCATTTTTTTTTAGCCAATTATTCTCCAGGAATAACAATGGACTTTTCTGGTGCTTTAAGGTTGGCAAAATGCTTAGTCTCCAACCCTTTGATGTGGGTTGAGTAAGACTTCTCATCCCCATTGGACTTATGGAGGGAAATGGAGACTTCGAGAATTTTAATCACTTGCCCTACTCTGCTCAGCCAGTAATTTTTAGAGCCAGATTGGAACCCAGATCCCTTCTCCCTCTGCAACCAGGACATCTTGTGTTAAACCATGCTGTGTCTCAAAATGAAGTAAATCTGGCCTGGGGTCTTTGAATTTCCTTTTCCCTCATGTCTTTCTTCCAGCAATTTGGTGCCACCTACGAGCATCCATCATATCAGCAGACAACCTGTAGAACTGTAACCAGGGTGGGGTAACCAGGGCTTTGCCTTGGGTTGCTGACACTGGGGCCATTTTTCTTCCCTGGATGGTCCTGAATCAGCCTACCCAAGCCATATGACAGGGCTGATTCTATACCTGTGTCCCCTGGACTCTACCTTCAGGATCCTGTTATAATAATAACACGACAATGATGATGATAGTAATGATAATGATAATGATGCACTGTATTTTTTTCAGTTTTCAATATTTACTTCCACAAGATTTTGACTTCCAAATTTTCACCCCATCTCACCCCTCCCCCACCACAAGATGGCATGCATTCTGAATATCCCTTCCCCTAGTCTGTCCTCTCTTCTATCTCTTCCCCCCATTCTCTTATCCCCTTCCCCTTCTGTTTTCCTGTAGGGCAGGACAGACTTCTGTACCCCATTTCCTGTATTTCTTATTTCCCAGTAGCATGTGAAAACATTTTTTTAAACATATGTTTTTAAAACTTTAGGTTCCAATACTTCTCCCTTCCTCCCTCCCCAACCACCCTCATTGAAAAGGCAAGCAACTCAATATAGGTTGTACACGTGCAGTTATGCAAAACACTTCCATAGTAGACATGTTGTGAAAAAATAGCTCTATTTCCCTTAGTCCTGTCCTGCCCTCCCATTTATTCTATTCTTTCTTTTGACCCTATCCCTCCTCAGAAGTATTTACTTCTGATTACCCCCTTTCCCAATCTGCCCTCCTCTCTATCAGCCCCCTGCTCTCTTGTCCCCTTCTCCCCCTGTTTGATACACTGTATTTTTTGAAAGTGCTTTATATTATCTCACTTGCTATGATGCCCCTTTCCAAGGGTCCACCTTTTGCCACCATCATGGCCCTCCACCTTCTCCCATGGATTAGGGGTTGGGAGTGACTCATAGGCCAGAATCATGGAGGTATAGACCACTTTCTACCCCAAGACAATTGCCCCCTGCATTTCACTCTCTGTCCTCACCCCGTTAACTGAATTTGCCTCCAGTGCAAGAATTTCTAATTCTGCCTTCACCAACCTGAGTCCACATGATCCAGCTTCAGGGAAGGTCCAGGGATAGAGCCACCAGGTGGGTGATGGAAACATCAAACCAAGACATTTTGGAGATGATAGGATTGATGTCATTGAGGGAAATATGGAAATGCAGACCTGGATCTGAGCCCAGGCTGGGCCTGGGATAAGGGTGACAGGGCCTGTCAGGATCAAAAACCAAAAGGTCTGGATCTGCTTGTGTCCCTGACAACACCCTCTCCCCTTCTCAGATACTGTTCCGGGCCAAACTGAGCCCAGCGCCTGAGGCAACAGGCAAAACAAACTGTTCTGAGCCAAAATTCTCACCGCTCCCCTGAGGCTGCTGCTCTCAGCCTGTCAGAGCCAATGCCAGAAACACAGCCCAGCTGAGTGTACTGCCCCAGGCTGAAGTGCTCCCCTCCCTCACCAGCAGCTAAGGAGCCTCTGCTCTGGACAGGGAAAGAGCCGTCTTGGAAGCACCGGCTTAGGGGAGACCTAAGGAAAGACTCCCTTCCTCTAAGGGTTGTGGCAGTATGGGAGGGTGGAAGAAGCTCTGGGCTCTTGCTCAGGGTGTGGGGGAGCCAGCTCAGCAGAATGCAGGGTCATATTTTCAGTATGAGGGTTCATACCCCAGAAAATGGCAGATCCTGCAAATCAGGGCTTGACTTATTGTTTTGTTAATTGTATAAACTGAGGAAAGTGATGAGTGAAATGGTAATAGCACAGATTAAACTTTAAAGTGTGTGGTGGGTAAATGTTCTGGACAGTGATTTGTTAAACATTTAACACTCCTGTTCAGTTCTACCTTTACTCTTTGGGCAGTTTGGGCAACTCATTTCCCCTCTCTACACTTCAAACAGGGAGGCATCTAGGTGGCTCATGGATAAGGTGCCGGGACTGGAGTCAAGAAGACCTGAATTCAAATCAGATTTCAGACACTTATTAGCTATGTGACCCTGGGCTAGTCACTTAACCCTGTTTGACTTGGTTTCCTCATCTGTAAAATGAGCTGGAGGAGGAAATGGCAAGCCACTCCAGGATCTTTGCCAAGAACATCCCATGGACAATATTGGCATGGTATGGTCCACAGAATCATGCAGAGTTGGAAGCTACTGAACAACAACAACAGTTTCAATTTCCCCATCTGACAGATGAAGGAACTAAATGATCTCAAGGCTCCTTCCCATTCTAAAAACTTGGAAGATGCTGTCAAAGTTGGCTGATGAAATCTCAGTCTGCAGTGACTTTTAAGTAAGATAAAAATCTTTAAAATGGTTTAGGGAATATAGGCTAAGAATTAACTTTGTGATATGTTGAAAGGAAGATGGTAAGAAGGGATGGGTTCTAAGAATGGGTGGCCCAAGACTCCTTGATATGTTAGCACTGGTCCTGGATTCAGGTTTCAAGTCCATTAAACAAACATTTATTGAACATCAGCTGACCATCATGGAATTGGGGGTATATCGTAGTGTGGTACAGTGCCATCAAACTCAAACAGAAATGGAGGTCTACTGAACCGTATATAAGGAAATAAGTGGTACAGTGCCTGGGTCTGGAGTCAGGAAGACCTGAGTTCAAATCCAGCCTTAGACACTAGTTGTGTGACCCTGAGCACTTAACCCTGTTTGCCTCAGTTTCTTCATCTGTAAAGTGATCTGGAAAACGAAATGGCAAAACCACTTTTGCCAAGAAAACTTCACAAAGATTCAAACACGACTGAAAACAGCTAAACAATAAACTATGTATAAGGATTTTTGTGGGCCACATTGACTTAGAAAAACCACACATTAATATTATCTCTGTGTTTTTATTTTTATTTATTTTGTTAAATATTTCCCAACTACATTTCGATCTGGTACAGCTGAGTGTTGTCAGGATAGACTTAAGTTCAAATCCAGCCTACACCTACGCAGGTAGGTGTTCAACAGCCCCTAGCGTAGCAGATGGAAAGCTAACCTTGGAGTCTGGAAGAGGAGATGCAAGCAATCACTTAGTGTTCCAGGCACCTTTAATTTACTGAGGAGTGACAGATCTGTGGAAACAGTGTGAATTCATAGGAATTCACTCTGCTAGGTGGTCTTATTTCAAAAGATTAAAAATTTTTTTTGAAAAATGAGGTATTCTCTACCCTCAAGGAACTTACAGTCTAGTAAGGATCATACATCCTGCCTTGGGTTTGGCCTCAGGCAGCCCAAGTCCCAACCCCAACTCCTCTACTTGTTGCTTCTGTGACACATGACAAGTCACCCAATCCTAAGGTAGAGTGTGAAAATGACAAAGGATAGGGGCAGCTAGGTGGCACAGTGGATAGAGCTCCAGTCTTGGAGTCAGGAGGATCTAAGTTCAAATCCAGCCTCAGACTCTTAACACCTGCTAGCTGTGTCACCCTGGGCAAGTCACTTAACCCCATTGCCTAACGAAGAAGAAGAAGAAGAAGAAGAAGAAGAAGAAGAAGAAGAAGAAGAAGAAAATGACAAAGGAGAAATGACATGCACAAAATACTCTAAAAGCATGTGAGGAGGGAGAGATGACTTTCAACCTGGGGAGATCAGGGAAGTTTTCATGGAAGCCGAGTCTTGAAGAATGAGAATTCTGACACCAAGTGGGCGTAAAGAGAGAGGGCATTGTGGGCATGAGTGGTGGCCTATGCAAGTTCACAGTCAGAAGGAAGCCCCACGAGCTCAGGGAGTACTTAGCGATCTAGCTCGGTTGGAATGTGGAGTGTACAAGAAGAAATAATGAGAAATAAGGTTGGAAAGGTTGGACCCAGCTATTAGAGGAAATAAAGGAGTCTGTATTTGATCTTCAAGGCAATAGGGGGCCATTGCAGGTTTTTGAGCAGGAGAGAGAAATGATCAGGCCTATGTGTTAGGAAGATCATGTTGGTGTTTGTATGAAGGGTAGATTACAGAGTGGAGAAAACGGAAGCAGGAAGACTAATTAGAAGGCATAATTGGGTGACCATAGTGGGGGGTAAACTGAGGCCGGTGGTTATATGAATAGAGAGACCTGGGTTCTGGCTCTATCTCCACCACTAATTAGCTGCATGACTTGAGGCAGGTCATTTACCTTTTGGCTCTTAAGTTTTCTCATCTGTAAAATAAGGATAATAACACCTGCTCTGCTGACATCACCAGGTTGGTGTGAGGTTCACAGGAGATAATAGATGCCAACATGCTTTAACAAGCTATAAAGTGTGAGCTAAGTGCGAGGTATTATTACAAAGCTGCAGAATCTCGAAGTTGACCCCGGAGGGAACCCGGAGGTCTCCAAGTCTGACCTCTACCTCCATGGGAATCTTCTTCATAATATGTCCAACAAGTGGGCCTCCAGCTCTGGGGGAAGACCTCTAGTGAGGGGGGCTCCACTGCCTACTGACTTTGGTCAAGTCACTTAACTTTTCTTGTTTTCTGGTTTGTTATTTGTAAAATGAGAGAGGTTGGAGGAGATGACTTCAACGGCCTTTTGAGTTCTAACTCTGAGATACCATAACCAAAGGAGACCAGCTTTTTTCCCCCTATATAAATCTGTCTCTGTACCTGCTGCCAGTGCTTCTGGCTCTATCCCCTTGGGTCAAGCAGAACTAGCCTAATCCCTTTTCTGCATGACAGGGCTTAAGTATTTGAATACAGCTACCATATCTCACTCCCACATTTAATTCTTTTCTTTTTTTTCCTCCAGGCTAAAATCCCCTCAGTTTCTTCAACCAATCCTTGTATGGCATGGTCCCAAGACTTTTCATCATCTTGGTTGGTATCTTTTGGGCAAGCTCCAGCTTATTAATGTCATCTTTATAATGTGTTCACAGTTTTTCCCTCCCATCCCACCCACCTTCTCCTGCACAAAAGAGGCAGCTAGGTGGCATAGTGCCAGAGCCACAGAGGGCCATAGCTTCGGGCTTAGAGTCAGAAAGACCCAAGTTCAAATCCAATCTCAGATACTTATAAACTGTGTGTGACAGTGGATAAGTCACTTAACCTGTCTGCCTCCATTTCTTTAACGGTAAAATGTAAAATTGTTGTGAGGATCAAATGAAATAATATATGTAAAGTCCTTAGCATGGTGTATAGCGCATAGGAGGTGTTACATAGTGCATAGCACATAGTAGGTATCACATAAATGCTTATTCCTTTCCCTTCTAAACAGAACACAATACTCCAGAGCTAGTCTTACCGGGGCAGAGTATAGTGGAACTGTCATCTCCCTTATTCTAGCTACCACACTACAATTAATGCAGAATTACATTCACATTTGCTTTTTTTTGGTGCCATATCATATACCATTGTCTCAAATTGAGCTTGCAGTCCACTAAGCCCCTTGGATCTTTTTCTATGAACTGCGGCCTAGAGATTATTACTGTCATCTTGTCCATCTTCCTACCACTAGGGAAGATAATACTGAAATTAACCTAGACAGATGGAGGGTAGCCAACGTTTGAGATAACAGGGTCAGGATCCCTGAAGCTCCTAATAAGCTAAAACATTGAGCCAAATCTTATGAGATGATGTGTAATAAGAAATAAATGTCTAACATTTGGATTAAGAAATCAATGTCACAAGTAAAGGGTAAGGAGATATGCGGTCTCTTTGAAAAAGAGTGGGAATATCGTGTACCGTTGTGGGCCTGATGTTTTAAGAAGGCCATTTCTAAGCTGAAGAGTCTCAACAGAGGGTAATCAAAGTGGTAAAGGTCTGAAATCTGTGCCATATGAGATCAGTTGAAAGAATGAGGGATGCTTAAATTGGAGATGGGAAGGTTCAGGGAGAACATGAGATTTCCAAACAAAGATTGTATGATCACTTGTTGAGAATGATAACAATAACAACTAGAATTTATGTAGCACTTTAAGTACTTAACAAATATTAACTCATTTTATCCTCACAGCAACCCTGGGAGGCAAGGGCTTCTATAATCCCCATTTTACAGATGAGGAAACTGAGGCTGAGATGGGTTAAGTGATTTGCCCAGGGTCATGTAGCTATTAAGTTTCTGAGGCTGGATTTGAACTTAAGTCTATCCTGACTCCAAGTTCACTCTATCTACTGTGCCAACTAGCTGTCTGCAGTTGTTGTATGGGGTGTGCTCTATGGGGGGTTCTTGGTCAGGTACAATTTGGATTAGATAGCCTCTTATATATTTTTTTCAATTCTGAGGCTCTGAGTGGGGGAAGGGAGATGGAATCACAGACCATCTACCAGAGACTGTCAGCATCCATCAGTCACCATGTCTATGGTTCCTCCCAGAGATTATAGAGATTTAGGTTTATAGAAATAAGAAGAGGACACTTTGCCCATGCACTGTTCGGGGGGTTCTCCAGGTGTCGCTTACATCTGTGGTCTGCCCATTACGTAGCCACCTCTTTGTCTTGCCCTGACTAGGATATGGGATGCCTTGGTCGGTGGTGAGGGAGCTTCCAGATGTGACATGTAGATTTTCGAGTCACCTACATAAAGGTTATCATGAAGCCAGAGTGAGTGAGATTCACCAGGGGAGAAAACAGAAGGAGAGAAGAGAGCCAAAGGCAAATGCTTGAGGAGATGCCCATATTTAGGGTCTGGGTGGACTGAGCAGAAGAGGACAGATCCTTAGAAGAACCTGAAAGAACAGTTTCTTGGACTGTTCCGAGAAAAGAGAGAAGACCATGCAGAAGGAAAAGGGTCATCAGTAGGATTTATGTCACAGAAATAAACATGGGATTTAAGGCAGGAAGGGGCCTTAGAGATCATTTTGCCTAATATATCTATCATTTAGATAAGGAAACCAAGGTCCAGAGAGAAGTGACTTTCCCAAGATCACCCCAGTGGAGAGCAGCAGACCTGAGATTCAAACTTAGGTCTTGTGACTCCAAAGCCAGGGTGCCTTTCCTTTATACCACAGCTGTTCTCAGGAAGAATGAGGCCTCTAGGGGGAAAGAAAAGGCCCTTATTTTATTTGTCAAATAAGAAGTCTCAGCAGAGTGCTGGGGAGACAAGGCCAATTTTTAGGGGTTCAGGCAGTTAGTGGTGGTGAAGAAGCAGATACAGCAAGTATAGACTACTCTTTTTTAGAAGTTTATCTGTGAAAAGCAAGTGAAAAGAAGGATGATGGATTTCGGGCAGGGGGTGAAGAACGACAGGGTTGTGAGGTTTGTTTGGTTTTTTTTTTGTTTTAAGAATAGAGGAGCATGTTTGTAGGCAGCAGGGAAGGAGCCAACAGTGAGGGAAATATTGAAGATGAGAGAGAGAGAGAGAGAGAGAGAGAGAGAGAGAGAGAGAGAGAGAGAGAGAGAGAGAGAGAGAGAGAGAGAGAGAGAAAATGATTGAAGGAGTAAGATCCCTGAGGAGACAGGAGGGGATGGGATCAAGGGCACAAGTACCTTTAAATTATGAACTTGTGTTACCTCTTCTCTATTGATGACCTGGGCTCTGCCCAAGCTTTCTGGGATGATTGGCAGACAGGCACAGCTACATGCATTCCTCCCTCCCCCTCCCACTCCATCTTAAAGGCATAGCTAAACGCGGCAAGTTTCCATACCTAAACCACTTCTAGACCCTTCTTTCTGGCATTCTAGTATCTGAATAATTTCAAGGCCTGGGAATCAAATGGCTACCTTTATAAGAGCATAAGACTTAAAAGGATTGAATATTCTTAGAGATCATCTCACCTAAACTTTCTCCCCTCTCCATTTTATAAGGAGGAAACTGAGATTCGAATTCATATGCCCTGACTCAAAGCCCAGCGCTTTTCCCACTACCATGCAATTCAGCCTGGCATGACAGATAAGAGGGTAAGGTACAGCAAGATGGTATTAGCCCTGGTACTTGCACCTCATCAGTACCAGCTACCTCAAACCTCCATTCAAGGGGGGTGCTCAGGCCAGCCATCTACTCACTTCCCACCTGGCAGCACTCCTTTGGATTCCTCTATCATCTCCCCTTACCTGGCACCTTCTCTCTCCCTCCCTCTCCTTTTCAGGTTCCTTTTGGTGTATCTTCTTTGGTCATTAGATTGTAAGCAGCTTGAGGGCAGGTACTACCTTTCTTTTTTGTATTTGTATCCTCCGTGATTGGTACAGCATCCGGCATATAGCAGGTGCTTAATAAATGTTTTTTGACTGGCTGACAAGGCTGGCCTTGGAATCCAAAAGACTGCACTGTTCCGGTCCTGCCTCCCTAATCTCTCCGTAATCAGCACCCTAAGACTAAGTTATAGAGGAACTGCAAATATACATCAGTGAATGGAATTTCCACGGTGGAAGTTGTGCTGAATGACACAGATGAAATAAAATCACAGATCCAAACAAACAAAAAGAGACAAAATGAGACCATGAGATCATCAGTGCTGTGGAGCACCCCCTGCCCTCCTAATCAACTAGGAAAACTGTTTTGACTGGGCCAAGTAGGACTCCAACCTGTGACACTGTGGCTGTGTCCAAAGGCCACCAAACAACCGGGGAGAAAGGAAACTAGCCCACTGACCCACCGGGATGTTTCCGGAGGTCCAGGGGCTAGCCATCTCAAAGATGGGCGGCACACGGAGGCCTTGAAGGAATTCGGGGAAAATCCCAAGCCAAGAAGCAAATCTCACCCGCCACCCCCATCAGGGAAACCCACCAGCTTCACACTCTGCAGAGAACAAAGGCACTGTGATCGCCTGTCACTCTGCTCCCCAATTATTTTGAAAGGAAACTTCCATGAGGAAGGAGGAGAATTATAGAGGAGTGTCAGGGATGGGGAAACATGTCCAACGCACATCTGCGTCCTTGATTCCTGTTCCCCGATTTTTTTTATCCCCTTTTTCTTGATCATGTTGGGCATAACAAGAGTTTCCAGAGAGCTCAAGCACAGGAAACTGTGAACGAGGAAATCTTTGCATTTGTATTTGTGCAGGTGCGTGCGCGCGCACGGGTGCGCGCACATCAGCACGCTCCAGCTCGCACATTTTTATTCTCCTGCAGGTTCAAGCTGTCTGCAAACCCCTCCCTTGTCAACAAGCGTCGTAGCAGCGGAACAATGGCAAGCAGCCTGTTTTGCTGCTTCCGACTGAGCTGAGCCCCCTTGCTAATCTCGCTCCCTCCGATGCTCAGGGTGCATCTGCGCATTTCGATCGATCCTCCGACTGACAGCCCGGGCCATGAGGAAGGTTTTCTCAGCTTGAAGCGCAGACTGGAAACCGCAGCTCTCTCCACCCCTCTGCCTCATCACCAAGGACCCCATATTCCTTCTCCGCTGCTACACTGTAGGAATTCCGACTGCCTCCAGTGGAAATTTCCACGCTGATGTTCGGGGCTGGTCGGGTACCTTTGTCTTCTGAGACAGAGGGATGGATTATGTGACTCCAGGGCCCTCACTGACTATGATGGTCATTCCTAAAGGACTTGCTATGATTTAATCTATTTTCTCCGAATAATAATTTATCTCTTTCAGAAATAGATGGAGCAATGTTTGGGAAAGTGGAAATAGATAAACAAACATAATCGTAATAATACTATTTACATAACATTTTAAGGTTTGCAAAATACTTTACAAATTTTATGCTCACGGGAGCCCTTGGAGGTGTCTACTATCATCCCAGTTATGCAGTTGTGGAAATTGAGGCAGATAAAAGTTAAATGACTTGTTCAGGCCACATTACCAGTAAATTTATGAGGCTGGATTTGGACTCAGGTCTATCTGACACCAAACTCAGAGCTCTATCCCCTGTGCTCCTATATCTCAGTCAGGTAGGCGGCACAGTAGAAAGAGCCAGGATACAGTCAGGAAGACCTGAG